CTAACATCATACTCAATAGTGAAAGACTGAAAGCTTTCCCCATAAGATCAGGAACAAGACAAGGAAGGATGCCTAGTTTCAGCGCTGCTATTCAACATTGTACTGGAAATCCTATCTACAGCAATCAGACAAGAAATTTGGCAATGATACCAAAAAGGCCCCAAATATCGAGTTATACTCCATTGTATAACTCAAAGCCACCCTTGAGTTCTGACCGATGCCAGACAGTCCAGTTTCTCCCTGTATGAGTGTGGGTCCCCAGAGACTCGCCCGGAACTGGAGTTCAGAGCAGTCGGGAGCTTAAGACTCCCTCCAGATTGAAAAAGACAACTGTGCCCTCAGTTGCCAGGCCTTTCCGCACGTGCCTCCGTACCTCTGCACTTTACTTCCGCACCTCCTCTGAGTCTCAGTGTGCTTTTGTCTTTCCTTTTAGTTGTAGAATTTCCACTCAGCCAGCCTTCCTGTGGTTCTGGATGATGTCTGTTTTGTCTTTTAGTTGTATTTTTGAAGTGGTTGTGCGAGGCAGCAATTTCAGGTGTTTACCTATGCCGCCATCTTGGTTTTTGGGGGAAATCTTAATGATTTCAGATTTAACGGTGATTTCATAGCTATAATACTAAAAGCATAGGCAACAAAAGGAAAAAATAGATAAGCTGAACTTCATCAAATTAAGAACTTTGTGCATCAAAGAACACTATCAAGAAAGTGAAACGATAACCTATAGAATGCAGATTATTTCCAGATTATATTCTAGACAAGGGATTACCATTCAGAATACAAAAGAACCACAACTCAACAACAACAAAAAACAACCCAATTAAAAAATGGGCAAAGATTTTAAATAATCTGATGAACAGAATAAACTGGTGAATAGACATTTCTCCAAAGAAGATATACAAATGGCCAATAAGTACATGGAAAGATTGTCAACATCATTAGTTTTCAGTGAACTGAAAATGAAAACCATGAAGAGATGGTACTTTGCATCTACTGGAATGGCTATATTCAAGAAAGGGGGAAAGAACAAGTGTTGGTGAGGATGTAGAGAGTCGGAACCCTCCTGCTCTGCTGTAATATAATGTAAAAAGTACAGCAATATGGAAAACAGTTTGGCAGTTCCTCAGGATAAAAAATAAAACAACACTGTTGGGGGAAAGCCCCAAAAGTCTAAATTCAGGATGGATTCCAAAGAACTGACACGTAGCCTTATTTGATTCAAAAGAGCTTTAAACAGGGGCAAAGCAGCTGCTTGCTCCAGTGGTGGCTGGCCTGGAAGAGAGCCACCCCTTCCCAGGACAGGGTCTCTTTTTTTACAGGGGATTGAGTAGTAAAACCACATGGTGGGGAGTCACCTAGACTACGAGAAAGAATAATGCATCTCTAAGTTAGCAGATAACATGAGGCAGCTATCCTTACTCCATATATTCGTCAACTCCCTTCCTGGGGTCTGACATTCATCTTTGGGTGGCAGTCCTGCTTTCTGGGTAGTCAGCCAAATCTGAGGCTACAGAGAGTTAACCAGTCACAGAAAGTTCAACAGAGAGTCCAACATTTCCCAGACACCTTTACTGCTGGAGACATGCTCATCTCTGAGCTCCCCTACAGATTTGATATAGGAATTCCACTCCTAGGTATATATCCAAAAAAATAAAAAGCAGGTACCTGTACACCAAAATTCACAGCAGTGTTATTTACAATAAGTAACCAAAAGGTGAAAACAACCCAAGTGTCTCACAACAAATAAATGGATACACAAAATGTGGCATATACACACAGTAAAATACTATTCAGCCATAAAAAGAAATGAAGCTTTGTGATATATATACTACAACATGGATGGACTTGAAAACATTATGCTTAGTGAATAAGCCAGACACAGAAGGACAAATGTTATATGATTCCACTTATATGAGGTACCTAGAATAAGCAATTTGATAAAGAAAATAGAATATAGAGATAACTAGGGGACAGGACAGGTAGGATGAAGAGTTATTGTTTAATTGGTACATAGCTTATATTGGGGATGATGAAAAAGTTTAGGGTGATGAACGTACCAGTATAGTGGTGATGAGTACACACTGTTGTGGGGAGCCGATATAGGGTTAATCCTCGGACTGACTTGGTAGCAAAATCACAAACAAGTCTTCTTCCGAGTCTTAAACAACCCAATCCGAGAGGTGGCCGCTGATTTACACGCTGTCATTTAAAAAATAAAAATGGGGGAATTTGCTGGAAGAAAATCCGCACAGCTTATGTTTCAAGGGACCTGGCATATATGACATATGTTTGCTCCCCCTCTTAAGCGCTATGTGTTTTAACCAGGACCACCTCCCCGAGAAAGGTTGTTTCTCCAGGTTAGGGGTTAACAGGACTAAGGAAGAGAATAAATCAGTAAATCCCCCTAGTGTTACAGAAATACCATGTACTACTTACGAAGAACTTGGACTTATGACTGTTGGCAATAAATTTGGGACTTGTTGGGCCCGCATCCCCAGGGGTCTGCCCACCAGGGAAAGCACCAAAGCCTATACCCCTGGAGACCCACTGACACAGGGCAGTCCCAGGGAAGGCAAGCAGCGAGGCTGGGAGGACATAACCTTTACTGGGTAGAATAATCTCCTTCAGTCACTTCCTTGTAGCTTATCAGTAGAGCAATAGAATAGTGACCTTGGAATAGCCCTTGTAATGGAACACAGAGATTAACCTAGACAAGATTAAAATCAACAGAACTAGATAGAGATAGGATTATGGAAATGAAACTAGGAACTGTAGAAGGTTTCCCAAAACATACCATGATGTAATTATAGAGGCATGCTTATGGGATCAAATAGTATAAATATAGATGTAATAGAACAATGAAGAGAGAACCCAGCCATGCTGATCAAATGAACGCTGTCTCCGGGTCCTTCCTTCTTCGCCGACTCCGTCCACACCTTTGGGAACCCCTGGACCTGCTGGGGCTGGCCCCCAACACACTGTGAATGTAATTAATGCTGAATTGTGCACTTATAAATGGTTAAAATGATAGATACATATTTTGGTATGTATATTTTACCACAAAAATATATTTTTTATAAAGTGGATGTGAAAGTTGGGAAAGGATCTTGAAATTTCATATAAAGTGGCCAGGAGAGAGGTCACTGCAAAGGTGACCTTAAGTGAAGCCCTAAAGGAGGTGGAGGATCATGGGGCCACCTTCCATAAGGTGTCCCGGCGGAGGGAGTAGGAAGGGCAAGGGCCAGAAGTGGGAGTGTGAGACATTCCACCGGGGAGGCCAGGGTGACTGAGTGAGGCGGGTGAGGTCAGAGACGGAGCAGGCCACGGTTTAGTATTTTGGTTTCTGCTGGGAGGGGGAGCCACAGGAAGGTTTTGAGCAGAGGTACGTGATCCTACTTGAGTTTTAACAACGTTAAAACAAAACATCCCTGGTCACCGAAACGGCCAGCCAGTTAGGGACCTCCGGAGTCCAGTCGGAAGCGCAGTGTTTCCCAGGACGCGCTTCCCCTATCCGCCATCGCGGGGCAGCAGAGCTGCGCTGCGCACCCCGCGCTCCGGTGGCCTCGCGCCGCTCCGCCCTGAGGCGCAGGTGGTCTAGTTCTCGGGAATCTTAGCGGAAAACCCGTCTTTAGTCTGCGCCTCCGCTGGGCCCCTTAAGAGCCAGAGTTTCCGGAGGCCTGACTTGGGGCAAGCGATGCCCCGGGGGCCAAACCACGAGATGGGAATGGAGGGAGGCGGAGAAAACTTCGGAAGTAGAATTCCAACTTTTCCTGGGCCTGATTCCCTGGGCTTCCCAAGAGGGGCAGAGCGTCCCTTTCAGGAACCTCGCTTCGTTTTTTAAGTCAATGCAGTATGTAGAAGGCATGGCACTGGCCAGGTAGGCAGTTGGATAGAGCGTCGTCCCCATACCCTCTGATCCCGTCAGGGCACAAACAAGAATCAACCAAGAATACATAAATAACTGGAACCACAAGCCGGTGTTATTTCCCCCTCTTTCTCTTATCCTCTCTCTCAAATCAGTCAATCAGTAAATTTTAAAAAAGTAAGTGAAAGACACAAGAACACCTCGTCCACCGGGACTCACTCGTCCCGCCTCGCAGGGTGTATCCAGGCGGGTCCATCGCCAGCCCGGGAGAGGGGAGAGAAGGAACAGGTGCCCGCAGGGATCCTGCCCGCTCAACAGGTGAGTCACCCCAGCAGAGTCTCGGTTCTCGTGAGTCACACTCCGCTCGGCTGGGCACGAGCAGAAGGGGGCCGGACAGGATCCCAGGTCTGTAGGCGCGCTCCCGGCGGGCGGTAACTTGGTTCCGACCCTTCGGGCCAGCGCGCACCTGGGCCAGCCCACTTCCGGGCAGGGAGGCGGAGGAGCCCCTTCCACCGCCCACCCCCTTGCCCAACCCTCTCTTCTCACTCTGTGTACCTGGGCCGATCCATTCCCCAGAGCGCACAGGGGGTGGAGTGACTAGGAGAAACACAGTGAGTCAAGCAAGTGTCTCCCCGAAAAGCTGGAAGTGTTCTTCATCCACGCCGTTTCCGCTCATTAAAACCCTAGAACCGGGCAGGGTGGCCTGGGAATAGGGACAAAGATCGGAACTGGGAAGAGGAGGAGCATGTACCCCTCCCAGCCTTGGTGCGCGCCGCGCCCCCTACCCTCCGGGTACCCAGCAGGGGACGCGCGGACCGGACGTGCC